ATTAATTGCTTCTGATTAATTAAACGTAAAAAGTAAAAAAAAAAGAACGTTTCTCATTCAACAGCTGAGCGTATTTTCAAGATACTAACTGAGGGTTAATTAAACTCTGGAGAAAAGATAAGATTAGAAGGAGCAGCAAAATTTAGTAATTAATTTTTATAAACTGATTAAAGAATAAATATTTAGCAAATACGTTATGAAATTTAGATAAAATTCAGTTACGCAACAAATCCGCAATTGAACAACATAAATGTAAATAAACATACATTCAGGTGCGACAATCTTGTTTCGTCTTCATCTCGATGTTAAAATGTTCACAAATGTTAATGCTAATCGTAGATTAACGAACACCCTTATCTGGATTTGCATTCGTTTATTTATTTATTCGAATATTTTCGTTTCGAATTTAATTAACTTTGGCATTCCGTCAGATAAAACCGGTTTTATAATCGCACTGATTACGGCAGAAAGTCTATTTAAAAATAACAGTGTTTCACAAATTGACCAGTGTTATTTTATGCGAGCTGCAGTTATTGTTAACGGAAACATAAACATTGTTGTGAAGTTACTAATTACTTTATTTTTTTCGAATAAAATTCAGTTTTTTTTTGTTTGTTATAATAATCGCATTATTCACGTTCCATGATTCAATTAACATATATCATTGTCCAAAACTCCAAAACATTAAAACAATGATAATACTTATAAATTAGTCATAATTTTTAATGTTACTTAAGTGTAGGTAGCATTAGTCACGTTTTTTATAACTTTAATTATTATCATTTTATATACATGCAAATATTTGTTTCAATAAACGAATTTATTGATTTCAAATTTATGAATTTCAACTGAAAATTTGTTTAATTAACTAAATTACAAATTGTGCAGATATTCCATTGAGAAAATTAAGTTCTTATTTTACGAATTTCCATTTTACGAAATATCGACGTGAAATTCTTGTTCAACTAGATTTATTCTTTATATTAAAACGAATATTAGTTTTAGTATATTTAAATTCGTGTACTTAATTTATGGATTTTCAATTTACGAATTTCCAGTTTTACGAATTGTGTAAATGTTCACTTTCACAAAATGTTTATGACTTTAAGCAGATATATTGAATAATTCAGTTCTCAATTAACGAAATTCCATTTTACTAAATATGAATCAACTTAAAATACTTGCTAAAATAAAATTATTAAACAAACTTATTGATTTTACTGAAAAGGAAAAAACAATTACAAATTAATATATAGAAATACAGCAATACCTCACATAGTGCGGATAATCAATTTCCAGACTATTTGAAACCGGACTAATCGAAATATAAGCTTTTGAACCGCGAGACTTGAATATATACAAAAAAAAATATAATTTTGTGTTTTAATTTTTGAGTTTATTGCTCAACTAAAAATTAGCATGTTTTGTTCAAACCCGTACTAATCGAAAACGCACTATATGAGGTATTGTTGTATTGGAATTTAAATGCTGAAATACTAATATTCTATGGTCATAATTAAGAAAGTTAAGCAAGTTTGATGGGTGATTTTGAAAATTTAAAAAAAAGATACATAATTGTATTGTTATAGTCAATTATTGGTAAAACCACCGTACAAATATTTCGGCTAAAATCTCTGTTTAAAAAGATAAATTGGAAATAAATTAATCGAACAATTGACAGAAGTATTGATTTTTTATATACAACTTCAATAAAGAAGATATTTTTCTGCATTTGCAGATCTTCTCGGCGCGCTGCAATCTTATCGGAAACGATATGAATAGAAATCAGCGAGTAATTAAAAGGAGTAAAATTAAAAAAAAACAAAAACGATGAGTCGAAGCATTTCGATTTGAAAACCGAAATTAACGGATCGTCAGATTTTAGTTTCGTCATTTCGGTGAGCGTTCGTAATACGGAATGATTCGATCGAGCGATGTATGTATGTATGTATGTAGTAAGTATGTATGCGTGTTTTATGAAATTGCTGTAACAAGAGAGTGAGTGTAACGGGATCAAAGTCTGCTTTTAAAAGTCAATAGGTCAACTTTTAATGACAATTATGGCTCTTAAATTTGTTTGAGTTTCTTATATTGCGCTCGGCTACTCTGTTTCAATATTTAAACACATTCATTATCTGCGCCAACCGTTCTCCGCATACAAAAGCAGCAAGCAAACAAGAGGTTTGTTTTTGGGGCTGATCGGAAAGACCCATCATTGGGAGCACAAATTTTCCATCTTCGATCGTTCGGATGGAAATGGAAAATTTGAACGTAAGAAACGAGAGGATAATGTAAAATTGCTGTCTGCTCAGTGTGAGAAGGCGTGTTCTTCGCGTGATGCTCGTCTCTCTTTATTTTTTCTCTCTTTTGACGTATCTCCGTTACCAAGGATGCGACCAATGGGCGCCGGACGCGCTGACACCGACGGGACGCGATTGGTCCAAATTTTGAATTCGATTAACACAAATTATGTTCGAGGCCAATCCGAGTCCATTGTTCCCACATCATTCGAATAAATTATTATTTGTCTTCCGTTCTACTTACATAAACAACAAACTACGCAAATACTGCCTAATTTCATGTCTTGCAGTAATTACAAAATTGCAAATATTGACCAATTTATTAGCTTCTAAATACTCATTAGCCCTTGGTATATTTGTTTTTTTTTTCTATTATTACTTACATTTCGCAGAATTCATTAAAAATATGATTGTTTATTACAACTATTATCATTGAAATTTATTTCGAATTTTGTTCGAAAACCGAGTTTAAATTAAAAACAATAATGATTCCACATCTATTTCGTAATTATTTTTTGGAAATACTTGTAAATAAATATCATCTTCATAATTTATGAAAACTAACTAGAATTTTAGAGAAATTGACTATTTTTATTAAATTTATAAGTAAATTTTTCATACATAAAAAGTAATTGGTTTCTTATAAATTTATATCATTAGAACAAAGAATTTCCAAGCAAAATTGAGTTAATTTTTGTACAAGTCTATTGACTTATACTTAAAGCAAAGCAACAAATGCCCATGTTTCAGTAAAATTTACTAAATATGTAGCCACGACAAAATAATTTTTGTGTGCAAAATGAAAACTAAATGTATTATGCTCAGATCAGCGTTTATTGTACAATTATTTTTTTTGTATGCATCGAACTTGCAATGAAATAAACATATTACGCAGATAAATTCCTTTCCAGACATGTTGTGTAAGTTACAGCACTCCAATTAATTTTGTTTTCCAAAAACCAATTATTTTCCAAATAAATTCTTCAATTCATTTGGCATAATTATACCTACTCTTAATGGGTTTTTAGTTACTGTTTTATCAAATTTAAAGCAATTAATGTTATTTGTTGCAGTCAAATATAGAAAAAATTAGTACTTATTAAGTGATTTAAACAAAAATAAAAAATATAACACGAAATTTCAATCAGTTTATTCAATTAAATTAAGTACAGTGGAACCTCGCATAACGAGCATTTCGCTTAACGCGCAAAATGAATTGTAAGAAAAATGTCTCGCTTAACGAGCGACGTTTCCGCATAACGAGTGACGATGAGAAGAGAAGTCCCGGATTGCGCTTCTGCTACATCATTTTTAAAACTTATTTACTCATATTATGTGTATTTTTGAATATGTTTCACTATACGAGAAAAAATCCGAAAATTTTGGAACGGATTAAACTCGTTAAGCGAGGTTGACTAATATTATTATATAAGCACATATCTTAGATAAATTCAATAATTTGTTACTAATTAATTACAATCAATGTATTGACATTATCTAATCTTCGTTTTAGATTATTGAACTGCTTTACAAATATATGTATGTTATTAAGAAAAAAAAATGTTTGGTAAATGCATTTTTCCTTGTCAAAATATTTAAATTGTTTGATTCGTTTCTAAGTGAATTACAATTAGAACACAAAAAGTGATACAAAACTGTTAGATGTGAAAATCATAAAAAATATAAATAATTAATAGAAAAATTTGGACTTTGAACATTACAACTAAATTATACTGTACTGCTTAAAAAAACAATTTTTCTTCTTAAGTTTTTGATTATTCTAATTCACAATTATTATTAACACACGTAAAAATCTGTCTTATTTTATTATTTAATCCTATATTTTTTTTAAATTCTTTTATAAAGAAAATCACTCTTGTTAACAACGAAATTCAATATTAAACTCCAAAAAATAATTAATATCGAATTCGAAATCGTATTTTTCACTTGAATTTGAAACTAATTTCCACATCGCCTTTCGAAACTGTATTAAATCACTTTGTTATCTCTCGACACATACCGACTTCTTCTCTCGTTTTCGGTTACCAAATTTGAACCCTAATCGTCCTCTTAATTAGCAGATTAATACCGCACGTTAGACAAAACAAAACAACAAAAAAAAAGAGATGTTGCACAACCCAAAAATAAAACAACAACAATTTTGTTGTTTTCCTTTTTGCATATTCAAAAAGTTTGTGTGTAAATTTTCTTTTATTCTTTCCGAAATGTTTAGCTTTGAAACGCGAAACATTAAGAACGTTACACACATCTAGAGGAAAATGCGGTTCGTATAAATAAAATGAAAACCACATCCGTGCGGCGGACGGAAAAATAAAAATGTAAAACGAAATAAATACACAAAATTCTTTGTTTTTTTTTTTGTTGTTGTTGTTGATTGGATTCACGAGTTGTTTCTGTTGCGTACTTTTGTTTAATTTTTTGACTGTTTGCTGTTGCCACGACGATACTTTTCTTTTGTTTGTTTCGAACGCGTTTAGTAATGTTAAGATTGTTGTTCTGATTTTGGGTTTTGGGGAAATTTGATGAACTTTTGTCTATTCGTATTGTTCGACTGGGTTTTCAGCTTTTTCGAGGTAGAGCAACCTGTACGAAAAGCGGATCGTAACTAATTGCGTGAAATGGAAAAACAGTGGGAACCTACGATAATGTAATCTATGTATATAAAATTTATCTACTCACCATAAGTTCTTTGATAATCAGGTTTCGTTGCCATTATTTTATCGCTTGTAGTATGTTATCACAACAGATATTTTATATATATATATATACACACAACCAAGTAGTAAGTAGTATATATATATCGCACGCACTCTAACTAACTGATGTCTGTATTTAATGTATTCGGGCAAGTCGGACTAGTCCAGGCTTTTAGACGGAGCAAACGAGTGTATGTATGGGGCAAGCATATGGATATTACGACGATTTCGTATTCCGTCTCCACCACATCTTCTCGCCTATGAACGCTCTCCGACCTGGTCCCATTGGATCCTAGGTGGTGGGGGGGGCTTGGCCGAAGCGAAACTCCTTCCCTCTCCCACTCCCACCCTCGCCCACTGTCATTCCGTCTTTATCTTGCACATCAGCTCCCTTATCCATCTTACATTCTTACTCCTTTGTTCTTCTCTCCTTATTATTCTTCTCCTTGTTGTTGTTCAACACAAATCAACATTTAACAGCGGTTTCGGAAGCGAAGCGAACGCATCGATTCTTTGCACAAAGCATTACATAACTAATAAAAATGACATTCGAGTAAGACATACGTCAAACAAAAATCTGACGTTTCATATGTTTCTTAGATTTATAAATCGGTATTGCAATTATGTAGTGTTTTTTCGATATTTATTAATATTCTTATTCCTTTGTTGTTCTAGTTTTTTTTTCAACATAAATCAACATTGAACAACGTTTTGGAAGCGAAGGAAACACAAGAATACAAATTATATAACTAATTAAAAATACAACACTGACATTCGAGCAAGTAAAAATAGGACATTTCATATGTTTCTTAGATTTATAAATCGGTATTGCAATTATATAGTGTTTTTCGATATTTATTAATATTCTTATTCCTTTTTTCTTCTAGTTTTTTTTTCAACATAAATCAACATTGAACAACGATTTGGAAGCGAAGAAAACGCAAGAATACAAATTCTTCGCACAAAGCATTATATAACTAATTAAAAGTATAACACTGACATTCGAACAAGTAAAAATCGAACATTTCATATGTTTCTTAGATTTCTTTATCGGTATTGCTATTCTGCGTTTTCGATATTTATTAAAATTAATAATCCTTTGTTCTTCTACATCTTATTCAACGCAAATCAATAATACGAAGCGAAGTTAACTCAAGAACGCATCGATTCTTTGCACAAAGTATTACATAACTCTTAAAATTGAAATTCGAGCAAGACATACGTCAAACAAAAATCTAACGTTTTATATGTTTCTTAGATTTGGAAATTAGAATTACATTTATGTAATACGTTTGTTTTCCGATATTTATTAATATTCTTATTCTTTTGTTCTTCTTGCTGTTATTCAACACAAATCAACATTGAAGGAAGCGAAGCAAACGCAAGAATACATAAATTCTTGCACAAAGCACTATATAACTAATTAAAAGTACAACACTGACATTCGAGCAAGTAAAAGTCTAACATTTCATACGTTTCTTAGATTTCTTAATCGGTATTATTCTGTAGCGTTTTCGATATTTATTAAAATTCTTATTCCTTTGTTCTACTTGTTGTTAAACATAAATCAACGGTTTTGGAAGTGAATCGATTCTTTGCACCAATCATTACATAACTCATAAAATTGACATTCGAGCAAGACATACGTCAAATAAAAATTTGACGTTTCATATATTTCTTAGATTTCTTAATCGGTATTGCAATTATGTAGTTTTCTTATATTTATTAATATTCTTATTGTTGTTGTTCAACATAAATCAACATTGAACAGCGTTTAAAAAGCAAAGCAGATGCTAAGACACATAAATTGTTCGCACAAAATATAATTAATTAATAAAATAGAGTCTAGCAAAAAATATGTCAAGTAAAAATCAGACGTTTCATATGATTCTTAAATTTCTAAATTTATGTTGCAATTATGTAGCGTTTTTCGATATTTATTAAAATTTTTATTCCTTAGTTCTGCAATACAAATCAACATTGAATAGCATTTTGAAATCGAAGCAACCGAATCGAGCAGAAAGCGTTACATTACTAATAAACATACGTACAACACTGACATTCGACCAAGCCATGTGTCAAATAAAATTCTGACATTTCTTCGATTTGTATATCGGTATTGCATATTTGTAGCATTTTTTCTATATTTATTCATATTTTCTAATTCCTTTTTTTTCTAGTTGTTCAATACAAATCAACATTGAACAGTATTTTAAAAGCGAAGCAATCGCATCGAATCTTTGCACAAATCATTACATAATTAATAAAACGTACAACACTGAGCTTCGAGTAATTCAAGATATGAAGTTTAATACGCTTCTTAGATTTTTTTCAATTGGCAGTAGCGTTTTTTTCGATATTTATTTAAAAAGAATGCTTTGCTTCTCGGTACAATTAGAATATTACATAAGTAAAATAAAACAACACAGACATTCGAGTTACATATGCGTCAACTCAAATCTGACGTTTCATATGTTTCTTAGAATTGTTAATCGGTATTGCTGTTCAGTAACGTTTTTTCGATATTTATGAAAATTACTATTCCTTTATTCTTTAACACAAATCAACATTGAACAGAAGTGAAACAAACGCATTCATTCTTTGCATAAATAATTACATAATTAAAAAAAAAAATGTACAACACTGACATTCGACTTAGACGTACGTCAAATCAAAATATGACATTCCAAATGTTTCTTAGATTTCTTAACCGGTATTGTAATTCTGTAGCGTTTTTTTTTGGATTCTTACTCCTTTGTTCTTTTGGAAGCGAAACAAATGCATCGATTATTTGCACAAAGCATTACATAACTAATAAAACGTACAACACTGACATTCGTGCAACAAATTCAAGTACAAATCTAACGTTTTATGCATAGTTTATATAGTCTATACATTAGCGTTTTTTTTCTATATATATACAGTGGTGCCTCGCATAACGAACGCCTCGCACAGCGAACGCTGCACACAACGAACTTCCTTTTCGTTCATTTCAC